GAGCTGTCCCAACTGTGGGGTTGCTGGGAGAACCCCCCAGGAAATGTGTCACGGCTCCTGCCCTGGCCAGGCAGCCAGCCAGCACTAAATGGCTATAAGCTATTGTCATCCCAGGAGCCATGTCCACACTTCACCTGCATTTAGACAGAAGCTTCTCATCTCTCCTTTGCCTTTATTGTTCCAGACTCTCCTGGAAGCTTTCATTACTATTCAAATTGCCAGGTGCTCCATCTCATTCCAACCAGGCAGCAGATGTTAGCCCGCCCCACCTACCAGCTACACTGCTCCTCCTGTGCCCCTGCCCATTGATTGGCTCAACACCACTCACCGGTGCTGCTATGCAGAATGGAGGCAGTGTGGTCCAGTGGTTACCAGCACAGACTGGACCTTGACCCTGGGCAAGTCAACTGTCCCCTCAGAGCCCCTCAGAGCCTAAGTCCTTTTCTAGAAAAATTTTTTAATAGACTACTGAAGATGGAGCTGACCAGTACAGGGGAGAGAATTCTGAGGATGCCTGGGTCAGGAGCACTGCCCAGCTCTAACTTGCCTTTCAAAGAATGTTCTAGAATCCCATGGCCCGGGGATGGAGTCTGAGGACCTTCATCTAGAAGCCTGTAGTAGCCATTGTCCCTCCTACCAGGCCTGCTATGGTTTTCTGAATGTCATCAACCAGGCTGTCCCCTTCCCAGCCATATGCAGCATCCACCAACTTCCTTCTCAGGCCCCTGCTGAGCTGAGGACCAGGCCAGGCCCCTAGAAACCAATTTCTAATGTGACTAACACAGCAGGTATATCCTGTTCCTGTTTGGGGTTCTCCTGTTCTGTCCCAGCTCAGAGTTCTGGACATGTGACTTCGTCCATGATCCCAGCACAAGCTCAGATAGACTGGAGAAGACATTACCAGGACAGGCTTCCAAAACTCATGTGAGAGATAGTGTTATTGACCATGAGTGAAGGAGTATGGCTGGCCCTGGGCCTACTTCTCCTGCAGCTGGAGCCAGTGAGGGCCTGGGTCCAGCAAGATTTATGGGAGACAGGCACCCCTGAGGGACAGGAGCCGGCAGTCAGTCAGGGACAGTTTCTATGTGCTGGGCTCCAAATGATCGGCTGTGATCACCATGAAAGCCAACAGTTCCTTCCAAAAGGCTAGGCCAATGCTAGGCATCCAGACATGCACAGTCTATGCTGTGGCTAATGCCCTGGCAAAGTGTGTCATAGTGGTTAACAGTGACCACTCTGTGAAAAACTCCTATAGGCTAGGAGTGGCATCAAGCCGATGCCTAAAGCCCTAAGATGTTAAATAACTTGCCCTGAGTCACACAGCATTTTGAAACCCTGGACAGTGCTCAATAAAAACCCAGGCCCCTCTACAATGATGTGGGATATGGGTAACATGTTACTGATGCCCGTGGCCTCAGTAATGGACACCCAATGAGGGTTCTTGATGGGTGTGTAGGAGTTTCCCAGGTGAAAAAGGAGGAGAATGTGTCTAGCAAAGTATACTGGGATTTCTGAAATGACCTTCGGAATGGAGGCCATGAACTTAGAAGAGGTACAGTCCAGCAATGAGAGGCCCTGAGGTCCCAGCCCAGGTATCAGGACTGAACCCACTGAGAAAGCCAATATAGAATGGATTCTCCCCCAAATTTATTGATTTTAAAATATTTCCTTATATATAAGATATTTAAAATGTCATTGGTGCAGCTTTGACTACATCACTTGGCTTTGAAATGTTATTTTCATTTTTGGGCAATTTTGAAACTCCTGCTTTTCTTGTCTGTTGTCTTGTGATTTTCATTCTTCATTCTCTCACTCTTTGACTTAGGTGCTATTTTTAAATGTTTAAAAAGTTTTTAGGGGTAGACTTTACTTTGTGTTGTATGTGTTCATGTGTATATGTGTGTGCACATGCATGTGGAGGCTACTGGGTAACATCATGTGTTTTCCTCAATTTCTTTCCCATCTTATTATTTGAGACATGGTCCCTCAATAAACTAGCTCACCAATTTTGCTGGCCTAAATGACCAGCAAACCCAGGAATCCTCCTACCTGCCTACTCAGTGCTGGGATTACATGAGCTATCATGGCACCTAGCTTTTTATGGGAATGTTGGGGCTCTGAACTCAGGTCCTCACAGTTATCTGGCAGATACTTTACTAGCTGAGCTCCAGCCATTTATTTGTTTATTTAGAGTCTTGGTATATAGCCCAGGCTGGCCTCAAAACTTGCAGCAATCCTCCTGCCTCTGTGTCTTGAGAGCAGAGATTACAAATATGTACCACTTAAACCTCTTACACCTGAATTGTACTTTTTGCTCAATTTCTATTACTTTATGACCAATGTTTTATTTCTGTTATTTGAAATTTAGGCTTGATTTTTAGCATGTGTGTTTGTGTGTGTGTGTGTGTGTGTGTGCGCGTGTGCGTGTGTGTGTGTGTATGTGTGTGTGCATTAGAGAAAGGAGAGAGAGAGAGAGGGAGGAAGAGAGAGAGAGACAGAGCCAGAGAGAGACACAGAGAGAAGAGATTCCCTTCTGTTGGCCCCTCCATCTGTCATGGAGAGAGTGGAACTGGATGTACCAACGATAGTGCACTCTGCCTCTTTCTCCTGCATTCCTGGCTGTCCCTGTAGAGCAAAGCTGTGTTGTCTTGAGCACAGGGATTCACTAGGGTTGGACCTCACTGTGACTGTGCCTACCATTCTCACACACTGCCCTTGCTTTTCTTATTCTCTCTGCCTCTTGACTTGCCCCCATTTTGTTTTGGTCTCATGTAGCCCAGGTAACCTAGAACTCCAACCACACCCAGATCATTCAGTGCTGAGGACGGACCCCAGGACTGTGCCCCGGAAAAGCACTGACCTGGGCTCCATCCCAGCTAAACCCAACTTCGGCTTTGTCTGTATTCTGTGACCCTGAGTTCCTCCTGGTGTACTATTGCATATATCACCACGCATGCTTTCCTTTGAAATAGAGTAGGATGCATGAAGCAGAACCTGACCATTTTGAAGCATAGGTTGCAGTGGAGGGAAGTGCTGGCTCTTCTGAGTTGCTTGACCTGCAGTGCAATATACTGCGATCCCCGCCAAGCATCTTTTCCAGCAAGACCGTATGGCTCACTAATGTCTGCTGCTGCAGCAGACACACTCAGTCCCATTTTTGTCATCCTGGTTTATGATACATTTTTGCGTTTATAGCTTTGGTGGGGGCTGTCAATTCCCCCATATGGCCTGGGTTTTCTTTGTTTTATTTTCCGTGTAAATGTCTTCTGATCACTCAGAAAGCTGTGTTTGGATGCCATGGTTACCTCCATAATTATAATGAGATGCAATAGGCTTAATCATTTATTTAGTGATACAGCATTTATTTTCCCCCACAATGAGCAGTGTCAGTATTCAGTGTCTTCGCCTTTCTCTCCTCTTGTCTCCCGATCACAGTGTTCTTTAGTCGTTTGCTTCTTCATACCTCTGATTTGACCTTAACTGCTAGGAATTCTTCAGACCCCCAACTCTAAATGAGTCAGACCTCGTTTATCTACACCGCCTCCTCCTCACCTCGTCCCTCCTACGATCTGTTATTTATACCAATTCCCTGTTTTCATTTCCATTCTCTTCTGTACTTGTCAGAACCCTTGGGCTTTTTCAAACATACTCCTAGAGTGAGCACCTCCTCCATGCCCTGCCACATGCACAAGCCTGTCCTCTGGTAATGTATTTAAGACAAGTCCACTGGACAGTAATTCGAAAATATATCAAAAAAGTCTTTTGGTTAGCCTCACACTTGAAAGATGATTTCCATGCCCAGGCTTGAAGTTGCCTAGTTCATTCATTCATTCCTTCATTCATCCATCCAACAAGTATTTATTGAGTCCTGCTGGGTGCCAGTTGCCATTCTAGAACTTGGAAATACAGGATAAGGAAACAGCCAGCCAACTTGGCCCTCTTGCAGTCTAGTAGACTTTGACTTCCCTATGTCAGTCACTCCCATCACTTGGTCACCCTCATCTGCAAATGCTTCTAGGAAGACAGGGATCTGTATTTGGGTAGCTGTTTTATTTACTTATATTTATTTTTTCAAAATTACAATGATCTCGTTATTTCATGTGTGTGAGTGTGTGCACAGCAGCACATGTCTGAGATCAGGAGCAACTTTTGAGAGTCACTTCTCCCCTTTCACCACATGGGTTACCAGGTTGGGAGCAAGCACATTTACCATCAAGTCAGATCACCAGTCCTGGGTAGTTGTTCTTAGCATGGAGGTCTGTGGAACAGGAATAGATGGGGTTTGTTCCCATTCCCAGTTGTCCTGCCTATAGCCCATAGCTCAGGGCCCTCAGTCCTCAGTTCTCAGTTACATTCTTGTCCTTACCCACTGGTCTCCTGCCCATGCCTGGTCCAGGAATGCCTTGAGTTCCTTTTCATGACTTCATCTGGTCTGAAACCATGGAGACCTGTCCAATGGTGTGAGTCCAGGAGGCATAATGGATTTTGTTAGTCATATGAATGGCATTTGATTTGAATAATTGTTAGATAATTACACAAAGACACCATATACATTTTTATTCAAATCAGAGTACTTTGGAAGGCTAAAGTTAAAATAACTATGTTCACTGGAACCATCTCAAGCCAAGGTATAGAGTCAAGCTGTGGGAGGGGAAACTCACTGGGTCTCATAAGTTGATCATATGGTTTAAAGACTGATAATTATATTTACCTTTACAAGCTCTGCTCTTACAAGCAGCCCTGCTGGCTCTGTTAGATTTTCCAGGCAGACTATCTACAGTTAATCGTGATTTGGGTTTTTGTATTCAAATCCTGGCACTCCATTTTTTTTTTTTTTTTTTTTTTTTTTTTTGTGTGTGTGTGTGTGTGTGTGTCTTAGTGTGCAGGAGCTCTAATATCCCTTGCAACCACAGTTTCACAGAGTTTCTTGCATCCAAAGTACAAACATCACATGTTCTTGGCTTCTCCTCACTCTGATGCTTGATACTTCTTTCTTCCAGAAAACCCTTTTGCTGTGCCTCAGGATGGAGGAGGCTAGACCCAGATCACTTGGCCCAGCTTCCGAGAACAGCTTCAACCAAGACCCCAGGGAGAGCCGGGGCAGTGGTGTGGTAACAGAAGAGGAAATACCACCTGTGCCCAGAAACCCCTTCTGAGAACTTCTGAGATTAGGAGCGACCTCAGGGTCTGGGGACAGACAGGGGCTCTGAGCCACCTGTCTGCAAGCAATAGTTCTCTTTTGGGCTGGTGGCTTCTGAGAAGAGACTCAGTGTGGACTGAGATGACCAACACTTAGCTGCCCTGGCTGACCCCAGCCAGAAGGATTTGGGGCCGTGAGTCGTACCATGGCCCAAACACTGACATTTCCCTGCCTCCACTCCCTCCAATAGTGGCCCCCTTAGGCCTATCCATGTCCGAATATTGACCGTGTGTGCGCGCACATGTGTGATCAGGGTGTTCTTTCTATATGTTCATTCAGCTAGTTTTTAATCGAGCCCCATCACCACTGGCTGTAGGTTCTCCGGTGGGCACAGGTCACTGTGTGGCTGAAGAGTCTTGCCCATGTCCTTTCTGAGGCTCAGGCCTTTTGCTATGGCCAGCAATTGTGAGCTGGTAGGGTGGGCGAGCATGGGACCCAGCCTTCCTGTGTCACAGGAACTGGAGCATACCAGTGAGGATGGCTTGTGGTGGAATTTATTCCCAAGGCAGCAGTAATAAGGAAATATTTCACCTGGCTTAGGGCAGCCTAGGTTGGATGTGTTGTGTGCACTATCACAGTTCCTGGAAGGTGGGTGTATAAAACTGTGGTTAACAATGCAGCTTGGGGAAGGGTGCCACCATCGTATGGTTAGGAAGTGGCCAGCTCCTAACTGAGGTCCCCCAGTATCGTCACTGGAGCAGGTTCCTGACATTTTCACAGTGAGTACAGCACCTTTGCAACCCAGGTCCTCCACCATCACTGTCTGAGCCTCCCCCATGAGCTCACACTAGCCACACACCTGCCACACACCAGGCCAGGGATCGATAAGATCCAGGGGGTAGGAATGCCAGGCTCTGCTCTGGGGTGCTGCACACTGAAGGGAGAAAACCACACAGACAAGATGAAGGTTCCTAAAGAAACCTAGAACAGAGGGTTCTATGATTCTGTTTACTTAAAATGAGGGTTTTACAAGTAAGCCCACAGAGCTCATCATCACTACTCCAAACCCACTGCCCTGGGGCACACGGAAGAAAACACGCCTCCTCCCCCCCCCCCCCAGTGACCCTGTCAATCTTCAGCGGCCACACTGACAATGTACACATGGCTATCCCACCTCTATGAATGAGGTCAAAGTGTTCCTGCCCTCAGCCCTTTGACCCATTCTCTTGAATCTGCATCCTCACTTGATCAGTGATATCCCCACATGAGCTGGCCACCTGCCCACCACACACTGTGGGGCACAGTGAGCAAGGGGCAGTGAGGTAGGAAGAGCCAGTATGGAGGTGCCCTTGGAGATCACAATGGTATAGTGTGGAGGCTGAGTGTGGAGGCTTGGGTGGTCCAAATGACACACAAGACCAACAATAGGATCTAGAAAAGAGGAGTCAAAGAGGAGGCCACAAGAGACACACGACTGTCAAATTCCCAAACAAACTAGGGTGGCCAGGACAAAGCACAGCAGAGGTAAAGGATGGTTCCCATGCAGGTACACCATAATGGTATACACATACAGTGTTTCTCCATCAAGAGTACTGTGTGCTGGAACACAGAGCTCTTTCCACTCTGGCTGGCCCCACATAAGGGAGAGATAGTCCCATTTGTGGACCTGGATGTTGTGAGTAAGGTTTTCCCCCCTGGTCCCACCACCATGCCTGTCCCAAATAACACACAGAGACCCTGTATTTGATATAATTCTGTTGGCCTGTTGCTTGTTTCTTATCGGCTAGCTCTGTCTTAATTATTAACCCATTTCTGTTAATTTAAGTTCTTCCATGTGGTCTCATCTTACCAGAGAGTGCGGCTGGTGTCTGCTCTCTCCCATCTTTCCATCTTGACTCCTCCTTACTACTTCCTTGAATCCTCCTTGTCTCCTAGTCCCACCTATCTTGCTTTCCTATTGGCCAACAGTGCTTTATTCATTAATCAATATGAGAAACATATTTATAGAATGACATCCCACATCACCTGGAGGCTGTTGCTCTGCTGTCTCTAGAGGCCTACTGGGTCAAAGGCCTCTGTCTCTGCACCCAGCTGGTTTTCCTCAGATGCATTGCTTTGCCCCGCCCACAGACTGGAAAGCCTAAGCTTGGATCTTGATTAAGGAATGACATGGACCCTCTCCCACATGCTGAAGCATCCTAGTATGTGGGCCAGCCATTGCCCTGAAGGCTTCTTAGCAATGGACTGGCTTGATCAGGCTACATGTGCTGCCCCTAGGCAGAGACTATGCAGAAGAAGGGACCCTTTCCCCAATGCACAGATCCTGATGTCACCCCAGCAAATAGATCACAGGCAAGATAAAAAGCCCCCTTCCTCAGTTTCCCTAGTAGTGAGAGGAAGGAGTCAGACTGGATGTTGAGGGGATTTCTGGCTTTGGATGACTCTGAGTTCCCCTTGTAGCTGCTTACATAGGATTCCTCAGACACAGGCGGCCATAGCCATGCAGACAGCAGGATACTGAGTGGGGGTGGGGTTCTCCAACAGAGGTCTCTTAGGGAATAGCTGAAGAGCCCCATGAAGATTCTGGTTGAGGGTCTGCATGTCTCAAATACATGTCTGAGGCTTAGTCTGAATACTCTCCAGGACACCGAGGCCAGCATAGGCCTTGACTTTGCAGGCCCTGGGCACCCTACTCTTTCCAGCTGAGTGACATTGGCTTACCCACCCAGCCTTTGATCCCCTTTCCTCCCTTGGCAATCAGGGGTTAAAGGTCAGGCTCTTACCCCATGCTGCCTCACAGAGCTACTGAAGACAAGAGCTATGTCTGTGCAGATGTGAGAGCACTGGGGTGGGATGCAGAACCCCAGGTGGCCATGATGAAAATCTGCTCCCTGCCCATGGTGTCTGTGGCTGCAGATGTGTCCTGAAAACACACAGAGCAGAGACAAGTTCCTGAATAGGTATTGAGCTGTCTCTGCCTCCTCCAGCTGCCTGTGTCCCCCCCCTCCCCACACACTTTTTTTTTCTGTGAACCTCAGGCCACAGTATACTCTTGTAGCAACGAGTAGCCACAGGAACCAAAGAGCACTGTGTGCTCAAGAAGGTCATGGGACATCCCTGTGTCTGTCTGACATTTTTCCTCTGGGAACTGTATGTCCTTACTGAGCAGTTTAATGCCCTGTCCTCTGTGTGATCTGGAACCTCCATTCAGAATTCCTCCCTGGCTGGCTGTAATCACCAAGGAAATGGCTTGTTCATTCTGTGTGGGAGTGGCCAAGCATCTGTTGGTGACTGTCACCAGTGTGCAACAGGCCTTAATCCAAACAGGAGCACACACATACACACAAACATACACACATACAGACACACACACACACACACACACACACACACACATACCCCTGTATATATATTTACATACATATGTATACATGTACCCACACACATGAACATAACTTGTACTTGTTCATGTATCTACACATGCACAGTCACATGTATATGAATATGCACACATCCATGTGTGCACATGTACACACACCTGTGAGTGTAATTTACACATGTTTACATGTTCAGTAATAAATACCTGCATAAGCTCCTGTGTATGCATACAAACCCATGTATGCCACATGTACACATATGTCCACAAACACACTCACAAATATACATATGCACCTACATGTGAACCGTACATACATGCACACACATGATTCTGATTTGGTCCCTCAAAAGCTCTGATACTGCAGAAAACAGTGGTGTGTGCAGCTGTGCTACAAGGCCACAGCCACTTCCTAGGTCATCCAAAAGCCCCATCAGGCAACCCTAGCTCCAAAGTGGAAAGAAGGACTTGGGTAGCAGGCAAACAAGCCAGCGATGATGGTTGAGGTTGTCTTCAGTCAAGAGCTGGGTCTCAGTCATCCTGTCTAGTGCCCCTTCCCAGGTCCTTGCAAACAGAAGGACATGATGTGGCTGTGCCTTGTGTTGACTGCCACCAACCCTCAACCCTGTCCATACCAATGGGGCAAGCCTCACTTGCCATCCCAGCCACTGTCCTCTTGACTGCTCCTCACAGCTGGTCCCTGGCTCTTCAAGAGATTGTGAGAGCATCCAGAGCCTCAGGCTTACAGACATTTCTTATCAGCTTGTTTCAATTTTCCATCTGTCTGCTTGGTTCCCACTAACAGGAATTGCTTGGGAGGTAAACACGAGATTCCCCAGGCATTTGGGCACAAGTGACTATATGAGAGGCCTCCTGGGCATTTCTTGTGTGTGTGAAGGGCAGGGAGCCAGCACACTGTTTGTCAGGGAGCTCTGGCAGACACAGCTCACCATGTGTGTGCCAGTGTCTGCCCGGTCAGAAGACTATGAGGAGATGATGTCACAGGACAAATGTGGTGTCCTGTACCCTCTAGAAGATGAGCCTTCATGTCTACTGTGTGCTGGGTGTCACCATGGTTCCCTAACCCTTCTGTAGCCTCAACAATGTGTCTGCAATTCATGGGCTGTGGTCGGAAAGAACGGCCACTGAGGTCCAGAGCAGAGGCACATACCACTCACACACTGCACAAATTCTCAACTGTTCAACAGACACTTGCTAAGTAGCCCCTGCCACCCTGCTCTGTCACCAGCGTCCACCAGAAGCCCCTCCTGTGTAGACAGATATGTTGCATCAGAGAACATGCACTGGCTCAGTGAGAGGCTGGGGTCCGCCACTGTGGACCTGACTCACGGTGCCTAACAGAAACACTCCCACCCACAAAATAAACAGAACATTCATCTATCCCTCCCACAAAGTGACCTTGGAGGTGACATTGCCTGTCCCACCCCACCCTGTTTCCAGTCCAAATTCCTGCCAGGTAGTTGGTGCTAGAAATGCTAGTGAGTGAGTGAATTTAACCATTAGTCAGTCACTCGGTGGTTAACACTCCTATCTTTATGTCAAAGCCCTGACCTGTTTACCCTTGACAAACTCAAACGACCCTCTGAAACACACAGAGTCCCCTTGCTGTCAGTGTCA